CCATAGCACCCACCAGCAAATATTAATGTGAGGCAGGCCATGCCAGATGGGGCCACAGCACCAACCAGTACATGTGAGACCCAGGGCAGGGGAAGCCCAGTAGAGGGCTGTGGGGGGCTTCCCTGCTGGGCCACTGCTTCCACTGGTGAGGTGAGAAATGGGACCCAAGGCAGACCAGGCCAGGCAGGGAAACACCTATTGGCCTGCATGTGAACTGGGTTGGGGGAGAATCAGGCTGAACTAACTGTATCCACTGGTGATGCATGAGCCAGAGTAAATGTAGGCTGGTTGGGCGCTGCTGCAGCATCAGCTGGCAAATGCTGGGACTGGGGACAAATATTGTCAAGCTAGACCGCAGAACCACCTGGAGAGTGCAAGATCCCAGGGCTGGCAATGGGCCTAGTATGGAAACTAGGCACTTCTCTGATGGGTTGCAATTCCTATTGGTGAGGATGAGAACCATGGCTGGGTGTGGGCCTGGATAGACAGGAGGTAGCACCTGCTGGCATAAGTGGGGGCTGGATAGTGGGGTTGGTTGGGCTGAGCCTGGCTTTAACGCCCATTGGTTTGTATAAGAGGTGAATTGGACATGGGATGGACTGGACCAGTCTGCTGCACATAGAGGCAGGCACACAACTGGGACTTGGGGAGGGCCTAGAGGGTTTTTTTTGGGGGGGGGGTTCAATGACTATGTTAACCATTGGACCTTGGAAGAATTTCCTCATCCTTAGACTGGTGAGAACAACAGCATTTCAGAACTATCAAAACTGCTTGAACAGAACCCTTGGCGCATGCTCCACATTGGGAACCCTGGGATGACATTGGGTGGTCGTTCTCAATCTTCGGGTGCTGATGTTATTGGATGATTGGGTGTGGTTTCTCCTCTTCTATTCCCACTTCCCCCAGATACAGGAAGAAGAAAAAGAGCAGTAGTTTCAACTACTTTCCCCTAATCTTCAACCCTTCTCATTCCAATCAATTATGTAAACATCATCAAAAATAAAAATTTTAAAATTACCTTCCAGTGCTCCTACCTTCTGATCATTCACTAAATTATATAACCTCAATCTATTTACTATCCCTACTACCAAATCCTTCTCCACTCCCCATTTCTAAGGTTGACCGAACAATTCTAGTTACATCCTCACAGGTTTGGGTGGGCTGTTTCTCCAAGTCAGGCCATCATCATAACTACTGACAGTTATCCTTCTAAAGCACCTGGTTATTTTTCTAAAGCACTTAAACAAAGACATCAACAATAGTCCATTGTGACTTAACAGTGACTATTTCTCTTTTTAAAGATTCATTAATTTATTTGAAAGAGAAAAGTTAGCGAGAGAAAGAGTGCTATCTTCCATCACTGGTTCACTCCTCAGTGCAATGATCTGAGTTGAGCCAGGCTGAAGCCAGGAGCCAAGCATCATCCAGGTCTCCCGGGTGGGTGGCAGGGAATGGCCGTGAGTGGCCATTTTTCTGCTTTTCTCAGGCTATTAGCATAGAGCTGGATCAGAAGTGGAACAGTTGGTGTACAAACCCATGCTCGTATGGGAGGCTGGTGTCGTAGGCAATGTCTGTAACCTCTATGCCACAATGTTGACTTCTGTAGGTGGTTATTTCTTAAGAATTTGGAAGTTGACTGTCCACCAAGAGCTAAAACTAAATAAATGAATGCATAATGGAAGGAGACATTCATATTTATAAAATCCAAGGCTTAGACTATTGAAGCACTTTCAAAGACAGTATCTGGTTACCTTTCAGAATCCAGCTCTTCAATTCTACCTCCTCATCTTTAATACCCTTCCAAGTAAACATCCCTTAATGCACATGTAATCACCAAGGAAATTTGTACTCATCCAAGGCTTGTGCCAACCTCCACTGCTTTCCCATGCCACAGGCAGGGAACTGGATGGGAAGTGGAGCAGCCAGGGCATGATTTGGTGCCCACAAGGGATCCTGGCACATGCAAGGTGAAGATTTACCATTGAGCCATAGTGCTGGGCCCATCAATTGCTTTTCAATACATGTTTATTGAATTAAGATGCACTAAGTGCAGAGTCGCCCAGCAAACAGACTAGGAGATATATGTACACTATCTCTGGGCCCCCCGCCCTCTACAATGACCAATAGGGTTGCTCCAGACCCCCCCCCCCAACACACACGCACACATACACACACACACACAAAAACACACTCACATACACACACAAATAGGAATAGATAAGCAGAGAACAACAAAGAAAGATTGGTCATCATGGACTCACACATACCCTACTAGGTAGAACACAAAGAACAAGTACTCCTCACCTAGGTATGAAAGATTTCTCTGCATTCCCCCCCAAAGCTGTTATGCACCTCAATTGTTAAAATGACATTGAAATAGTCACAGGAGGTTGTTAAGAACTTACATGCAATTTTAACATATTGTTTACTCAACACAATGTCAATTAATTCCATAACGATATATATTGTTGCTGCTGGGGCTTTTAATTGATTGGGATCTTGCTGTCTTGGCCCTACGTTCAGGCCAGAGAAGGTCTCCCCAAGAAGCAGATGAACTTATCTGGATAATAAGATGCTGGACTCTATGCTTGGCATATGCTTACAATGAAGGTGTCTCAACTGAATTTGAACTGTGGTCTCACAACAAGGTGGAGGAGTCCTCCATGGGGGGAGGGTTGGGGAAGGGGTGGGGGGAATCCCAGTAGCTATGGAACTGTGTCTCATAATACAATGTAATCAATAATTTTTAAAAAATCTGTCTATAGACCAAATAAATAAATAAAATGTATCTTGCCTCTTTAAAAAAAAAAAAGAATATAAAGACACTGTCATCGGAAAAAAAAAAAAACAGTACACTATGAGAACACATATGTCCAGAAATTGTCCAGGTGGTCACTACTTAAGTAAAATATCTTCCTATTTTAATGTTTATTAGTTTAACAAAGCTTCTAAGACTTTTAAGTTGAGAAAGAAATGAAGTTTAATTATCAAATTGCAAGCTTTTGTGGAAGTTTATTGAAAATAACAAAACAATTTTACATTTGGAGATACAGAACATTCAGTCTTTGACTCTATTATACACTTCTTTATACTACAAACTATTTGTAAATATGTCTGTTTTAAGGTTTTGGGAGACAAGTGTGTTGCTTAATACAAATTAATACCAAACTGGAATTAAGAAATATTGGATTCAACTTCACAAATTAGCTGTAGGATCTTAGACAACAGCTGTGAAATTTCAGGTAATCCTTAATTCCTTCAGGTTTCAGAGCATATGTATAAAACTAAATATTCTCGAAATTCCCATCCAGCTCTAAACTCTAAGTTTCTGTGGCCAGTGTTGTGGTGCTGGGTTGAGCTGTCACCTGTGATGCTGGCACCGTGTAAGTGCTGGTTCCAGTCTGAGAGGCTCCCTGTCCCATCCAGCTCCCTGCTAAAAGGATGTGGGAAAGCAGCAGCACATGCCAAGTGCCTGGATCCCTGCTACACACGTACAAGAACTAGACAAAGTTCCCAGTTCATGGGTTTGGCCTGGTCTGGCCCAGGCCTAGCCATTGTGGCCTTCAAGAGAGTACACAGTAGATGGACAATCTCTGTCTCTCCCCATCTTTGCCTTTCAAACAAATCAGTACTAGAACACAAAGATTTAATTACAATGTAATCTAAATTTTTTCTTACACGGTTTGTTCTCCTTGCTAAAAATAAGATTTTTTTTTTTTCAAAAGCAGAGAGTGAGAGAGGGAGAAAGAGAGGGAAAGATGGATACAGAGATATGTATCTCCTGTCTGATGGTTCAACTTCCAAATCTTGCAATGGCCGTGCCTGGGCCTAGCTGAAGCCAAGATCCTAGAACTAAATCCTGATCTCCTAGGGACCCAACTAAGACAGCCACTTGCTCCCACTGAGGATGTACAACAGCAGGAAGCTGAGATCACAAGCGGAGCTGGAACCCAAACTGATGCACTCCCACCCGGAATGCAGATGTGCCAAGCAGTGGCACAACCATTGTGCCAAATGTCCATCCCTGAACCCTTTTATGAGGGCAAGATTCAAATCTTACTTATTTTTCACATACTAGTGTCTACATTCAATGCTTCTGTATTGACTTCGGATGAATGAATGCATAACTTTCTCAAATGAATGAGTGTCTTTTGCATAGGGTCTGTAGTTAAAAAAATAGCAAATTTGTGGTGTAATACACAACTAAAGCTAGTGTAATTATATTATTACATCAGAACAAACAATTGCACATTCATCTGTTGATATTTCAATATAGTCACAGATTTTCTGCATTGATCACTTGATGAAAAACTTTACTAATTTAGAAAGATTTTTAATTATAACGGTTTTAAAATTTCTGATCTACAGATATTTGATAATTAGCTTAAACCATTCAGAAATCAATCTTTGAAATCCCATTATCCTAACATCTATCAAGAGCAAAGCTTCAAGTACTCCCCAGCAGCACTTTGTAGAAATGTTTTCATCTTTGCCTTTCTACCAAAATTACAGAGCAAAAGACAATCCTATAAAGAATATAAGGAACTAAAAGTTTAGAGACAACCAAAAAGGCAACACACACAATTTAAATTCAATTCCTTGAGTACCTCACATACCCATGTTCAAGTTAACATTCAGTGCCAACTTAGTGTAGGTGCAGTTCCAAAGTATTGCTAACACAAAATGGAAAACACCGGAGAGTAATGAACTGTGAAGTGAGTTCCTATTGATAAGACAGGCAGACACTTTCCCCACTGCTTTTAAACGTTGGCAGATGCCTCTTTCTGGACATGTCTCAAAAAGGGAGAGACAGGATTCTCCCTGCTTCACTGATGGCATGGATGACACTGGAGAGGAAATTTTCTCACAATTTCCTGCACCTGAATTTCCGGAAAAGCTATTTTTTTTTCCCCACATTCAGTCATCAGCCTGAACCATTCCCACCTGAGTCTGAATGTAATTCACAGAATACTTTTATATACAATGACACGAACACAGTGAGATTTTTATTGTTAAATTACTATGTCACTATATGCCAAGCAGAAAGGAAAGGGGCTGATGTACCATGCGTTCAGGTTTGAAGTAACGGAATAGTAAGCAAGTGATCAAAGGCTCAGTTAGGAAAGGAAAACCGAGCCAAGGGTTTCCTTGCAGGTTTTCTAATTTCTCTAATAATTATACAAAACATGCTGGAAATGGTTAGAAAAACAACTTTTTCTACATATGGTATCATTTTAATAAGTAAACTCTGTTACCGCAATAATTTGGAAAGACTTCCACAATATTAAGAGTAGTCTTTATCTGGCTAATGGCAAGTATCATTTGGACAGAATCTAGGCATCAGAAAAACAAAGGGGTGCCATAGTTGAAACTTTTCTAAAATGTTAACACTCTTAATGCTGAGTTTCCAGTTCCAGAATTGTCCATTCACCTTGAGGTGAACAATCTTCAGAGGAAAAACTGGCCATGCTGATACTTGCCGAGGAATTATCAAGTGGAGATGTGAGTTCACTCCATCTGTTCAAAGTGCCAACATGTGCTGTACCCTGAGGTTTTGAGCTGTCTCGTGCTAAAAGTAGGGTCTGATTGATAAGATACTGTGCTAAATTTAAGTCTTCTGGAACAGAATCTGTAATATTTAAGTTTGAAACCTGTTCAGAGAGCAGTTGCTTTAGCAGTGTCCAATCTTGTTTTGCAAAGTGCTGATCATCTTCAGAAGCAGGATCTGTAACGTGTGTTTCTGATTCCACTTTCTGCTCAAAAGCTTCTACTATATCCATCTCATATATTGGAGAGAGGGTTTTTGAAGGCCGATGCTCATACATGCAGGTTTGTGCCAGTGTGTCACAATCATCTATGTCTCCTGAAATAATTCATAATACTACACAATGTAAAAATTGCACATGTTGGTACTCCTCAGAGCTTTGTAGAACAATATTAACATAATAGAACAGTGATAGTCCAGGAAACACAAAATGGGAAAAATAACACTTAAAAAAATTGACATTTTGGAGATGTTTCTTTTCTATGGGGAAAAAATTCTAATGCATTGTTCAGCAGCAAGTTCAACACAGGCAACTAACATTAACTGTCCATACCGTAGCTTTGAAAACTTGCAATACAGAAAACAACATAAATTACTGAAACAGAAACACAGAATGGGCACATATACCTAATTCACTATAACAGAAACTTAAAGAGAAAAAAATGACATTGCTATTTGATGACTTATAAGGTAAGTCAATTCCAAAAGAGAGAATAAATTCATTTTCTCTAAAGGCTTGTTTGTATATTGCACATGCAAAGGAGGATGCAAGCAGGGACCAACAAACATAAATGTACAACTTGGAAAGATCTCCCTATTCTTGTAATTCTGCTGAATAGGGATTGTTCGTCAGTATTCTCCTTAGTTGTGACACACAATGGCTGCTCAGTCAGCCACTATTGCATATTTCCAATTTGGGTCATTAATATGAATTACTTGTAAGGAACACAAAATGCAAAACAAAAAAATTACAAAGGAAATAATCTAAGCATATGAAAGAAGCCCAGAATTCTTTCATATATTATCGATACCTCTAAATAGAATTTCTTTTAGGAAATTTATCACATCACTTAAAAATTTTAGAATAGAATTATGGTGATCTTAAAAGTCTTAATCTCTGTAAAATGCATATAAATTGTAATAATCAATCTAGTTGTTAAAATAGTTCAGTGTTTTTAGTTACATATTATAGTTATTGCACAGCCCTCTTAGATATACACTAGCAAGCTCATAAATCATATCTGATGTATAATAAAATTTCTTAGGAATTCTTATCTTAAATTATATATAAATAACTATAAATAATAGCAAACTAAGTTTTTTTCTTCATTCCTTCATGTAAAATCTCTTTGTAGGTTAGCACTAATAAGCAACCCAACTTTTTATTAGGTATCAATTCTCAGGATTTCTAAGTGAGTCATACAAATGATTAACTAGCTAACTTTTCTTCATTGAGATATTTAAATTACCATTTCAAATCTGAATCTGTTGCTTAATCACTCCATCTCACTGAAAGATAGCACTCAGGGTTATATACAACTTTAACATTCTATAATTTCATTTTATGCACTTAGCATTTCTATTTCTGTACATTACCTGCAGATAAAGCAACATTAGCTCTTACAGCAGCTGCGGAATGGCTCTCTTTGATTTGACCTTCCTGAGGCAGAACTTGACTCCAGAAGGAGTCGAGAGATTTTGCAGAGCTGTTCTTTGGTATGTCAGAATTAGGTTCCCTCTGCTGGAGCTCCAAGTGGCACGGTCTTTCTTGACACTTCATTTCACTCTCTAAGAGTCTGTTGCGCTGCTGAAAGTCAAGAGCCACGTGTCTTCCACTGTTCCCTTTTTTATATTCTGGGGGAAGCTGTCTGTCTCCTTTGGGCAGGACATCTCTTGTCGTTTTCTGGTCTATGGCTGAAATATTTTGTGGATCTGTTCTTGAAGAATCAGTGCTACTAAGACATACGAGAGAGTTTGCATTGTGATGTACAGCATTGTGTTGACCTTGCTGTTTATATTCTAAAATACTGTCTTCTCTTCCTTGATTTGAGAATCTGGAATAGTAGGCCCTCGCGCGATGCTCATTAGAAATGCCATCAAAAACGTCCGAAGGTGAAGGCACGCCCAGGGACGGCTGCGAGGGAGTGTGGGCCTCCCCTTCATCAGATGCCAGCTCATCACACTCATCCACTGAAAGCAGAACTGACCTTTTAAACCTGTTAGTTGTAGGAAATGCACGACTTTCATTTTCAGCTGCATCTTCAAAGGCTAGATTAATTATTCCCTGAAACTGCTGAGGCGCTGTGTGGCAGACAGTGAGATTTTCAGCAATATTCTCAGCTTCAGACCGTTCATCCTCTGTTTCATCCGCTGAAGAGGAAACCTGATCTATTTCCTGAGAGAAATGTACACTGCCTCGTGAAATACTTTCTTTCTCCCTTGGGTGGGTTATTGTAGATCGTGGCCAGACTTCTGGCCTTTTCCTAGGGAGCTCCTCATCGCTCGTGGAGTTAACCTGGAAAGGATCACTACTGCTTTGCTTTTTCATTTTCACTTCAATTCTTAAATTACTATCATACATCTTTAATTCCTCAGGAGTGCTGGTATCGCTGCTACTTCTCCCGAGAAAATCGTGGCACAGTACAGTGCCACACTTGGAGATACCTCTGTCGTTGAAGCCATCGTCATCCTGAGAGCCTCCAGCATCGTAGTCCTCAGATCTGGGCTTTATGTCGTCAGAGGATGTGGTGGCACTGGCAGTGTCAGACTCAGGGCTCTCTCGCTGTGGCAGGACACTGGTACTCACGTTCCACTGACCCACGAACGAACCTTCAGGCGTTTCGTGGCCCTCTGGAGTTTCTGACGTCTCCATGTTTTTAGGAGAAATTTTTCCTGAGAGTCTTCCTGAAAAACTTTGGGAAGAAATATTTGAGTCTGCTGTTGCATGTTGGTCTTCATCTATGGCACAGTCATCAGACAACTGACTAGGAATCCTTGGTTCTCCTACACAACCTTTTGATTCTCCGTTACCTGGAACAGAATTTAGGGTGCTATTTGTCTCGTCAGGAACACAGGATAAAGCATCTTTCACGCATGTGATGTTTGACTTCTCATCTGTACCGTTTCTACTGACTCGGTTATCCTCATCTGATATTGAGTGAATCTGCTGTGTATTTGGTGAGCTGTCTATATCACAGTCAGGGTTAGAGTTCACGGAGTTCTCATTTGGACTTGAAGTCAGGGGTTTTCGGGCAGTGGTACTAACAGATTTTGCATGTTCATTGTCATTTCCAGCAAAGTGAGGGACTTTAGCTATGCTGTAGTGATCTTTGGGCATGGAAAATCTCGATTCACTTTCATTTGAACAAACCCATTTTGCTTCCAGCTCATGATGTATTGATTTCTCTAGCTTAGAGATGTTTTGGTATTCTAACATCAACTTTTCTTTGTCTTGACTGCTGGCTGGTTTCTGTGGGTCATGTGGCGACTGGGCAGAGGCAGGATAACTGACAGGTCTGTGAGACTTCTGCTCAGAACTGCTGTCCTTGTCATTCCTTTCATGCCCATCATGAAGCATGCTTTTTTGGACAACTGATGTTTCATTTTTTGATGGTCTTTGAGAAGAAGACTGTGTCTTCAATGCAACTTGTGCAGGAAGCAGCTTTTGTTTTGCATTTTTATTATTTGACGTTTCACCTTTCTTTGGCTGACTGGGGTTTTTTGGCATTGCTACCATTTTCGCACTAGCCTTCATCACAGTGGTCTGTGATGGCGTTTCAGTTTTTCTCTTAGGTGTCTGTTTATCTGTAGTTGTCTTGTGCTCCAACTTGGTCGCGTTTTCACCAGATTGCTTTGAAGAGACTGAAGATTTTACTGAATTTGATGATTCTCCTTGGGGTCCTAAGAAGAATTCAAAAATACAATATAATTTCCACTTTTTTTTCAGTGAAGTTCAGTATTTGTTTAAAAATTGCTTGAAAAGAAATGAAGTCAACAAAATGGTAAAAAGATAACACATCTGTAACTAGGTGAACAGGATCTAGTCACAGGATAAAGTTGAATTTTTTTTTAAAAAATTAAAAGTATAGGACTACTGCAAATCTTAGTTAAAAACAATAAAAATATCCTCTCTCTTCTTCAAGAGCCTTAATCCTTATGTCAAAGTTGAATTTGTACAAATATCTGGCAGAAAAAAAATCTAATTTTCTCATGTTCAAGAAGCAAGAAAGGCCTTCCCTTTGAAGTTTTTTGAAAAAAAAATAGACTTTACTTTATAAAACTGGAAAGTGAATCAAGCTAAATACAAAATAGAATTATTGGAGCTGCTGCAGTATTCTTCTCTCAAACATAAATTAATCCAATCTTCTTCTCATAACCAGGTAATTATTATTGCAGTTCACTAGGTTTAACAATTTAGATTAGCAGTGGAAATGAAAACTGATTGTTGGAAAGAAAGTGGGGTTAATTTGAAAAATCCATTGGCTTTTTTTTTAACCCATTTGTTTATACTGGTTTAAGTATTATATATAATTTCTTAAGCATTCAAATGTAACAACTGTCAAACATTTGAAATGACTAATTTTTAACTATTACTAGAACATGAATAATTATTTAATGCCCTAGTTTTATTGATTTTTGGTATTAACTTAGATAAAATCATATTTAAGATTTTACAAACTGCTCTCACATAGGTAAACTGCTCTCACACAGGTAAACTGCTCTCACACAGGTAAACTGCTCTCACACAGGTAAATGCTTCATAGGCTCCTGGTTTTCCAGCTTTTACAAAAATAATCCTAATGGTATCCAGGACTCTGTCAGCTGTACCTTGAGCTCTGGCAGAATGACACGGGGCACTCTTTGTTCTCTGCTGAGCTGCAGCCCATCCATTGCCATTTCCTCTTTTCTTCAAAACTGCTTGTGGTAATGGATCACCTTTGCCACCGACCTTCTTCACTATGCTAAGAAAAATGGTTTCCATTCAGTAATTCACTGAGATTCTAAAATATAGCTTTTAAAAGATTCATACATGACATATATTATCTCAAGAAATAAGATCTATTTCTTCTGAAAATCAGAAAAATAACTGGTAAGTCTAGTCCATACAACTGTAGCTGAAGTATGATAATGTAATAAAATATAATCATGCATCACAAATGAAAAAGTATTCTAATTCTTTCAATCATTTTGCATATGCTTAGTAAGAAAACAGTTTTCAAACATAATTGTATAAAAACTTAATTTTTTAACAAAGAAAATGTATTTTAAAGATAGTCAACTAGACATTAGTAGACAGTTAATTTCCAGAGAAAGCTAAGGTACATGTAATATACGGGATGGAGACGTACCTATTATTTATATTGTTGTCTGGTTCGTGAATGCTCTTTTTATTAGCAAAAGTTCCATTGGTTACTCCAGAAACAGGTCGACATTTTACTGCTATAAATTAAGAACAAGTGAGTCATGTGATGGGATATATTTAATATGTAACAGCTGCATGTAAATTTACTGGTCAGACACTATATGAAATGTCAAAGTAGGAAAGACTGTTTTCTCTCAGTTTGCATGAAGACAACAGATAAATACTTTTTGGCATGTGAAATTAAATAAAAGCCCTAACACAGAATCATATTTTTTCTAGGAGCTTAAACTGTTAGAGTGTTGTAGGGGCACAGCTTATGATGTCAAGACTACATGAGAGCACAGGTTCAAGTCCCAGCTGTTCCTCTTCTGTTCCTAGCTCCCAGCTAATGTGCCTGGGAAGGAAGTGGAGGATGGCCCAAAGGCTCGGGTCCCTAAAGCTGATGAGAGAGACCTGGATGCAATTCTGGGTTCCCTGGTTTGCTTTCACCCAGCCCAGGGCCACTGTAAGCATGTGGAAGGCGAGCCAGCAGATGGAAGGTCTCTCCCTATCATTTCACTTTTTAAACAAACAAACAAACAAACAAATTTTTAAACATTAGATTGCTAAAACCTACCCACAGTGGAGGTTTTGACACCGCTTACACAATTCTTTACCGTCTGTCCTCGAGAATCACAAAGGGATGGCTTATGACCAGAAGACTTCTCTTCACTTACTGATCCATTTTCCTCATTGAGACTTTCAGTGGAAATCAGGTATTCCATACTTGAATTTGTAGATCTGCTGGAATGCCCTGCAATGCTGGGGCATGGAGAATTTTTTCCAGTCATTTTCTTTAAAGGCTTTGCTCTGGCTGGCATGCTTGAGTTTCCAGTAAGTGCCTTGGGTCTGGCCCCTGTCACATGCCCTTGGTGATCTCTCACTTCTTTCCCACTGATGGAGTTGTTTTGGGCAGTGGCTGCCGCTGGGGCTGGCCTTTCCACTGTTTGTCCAGATGCCGTGGTGTCCAACTTGGCATTGCCATTGCTTTCTGTTCTCGCCGTTATTACAGTTTTAGGCTTGCCAGAAGCATTTTTTCCCCCAGTTTTTAATTCTTTCGTAGTCTTTGATGCTACTTTCGTACCATTCTTTTCCTTGAAACCATCCTGCTTCCCAGTGCTGCTTGTACTGTTTCTGTGAGTGCCTACTGAATGTCCTGAGGCACCTAATCCATCCGATTTCATCTTCTGATTAGCAGAGGCAGAACTCCCACAGTCTTTCTTGGGATTTGCCCTCCAAGGTTTTTTGTTTATGTTTATAACATTTGGGTCAGAAACTTGTCTCCTTGGCTACAAAGAAGAAAAAAATACTTAGTAGTCTGATTAAAATCTTTGGCACTTGATACTTACTATTTCAGCACTACTTTTAACAGAGAAAACAAAAGCAACATTCTTTTTATGGTTCAGGGTCCAGTCAAAACTTGAACTGTTGTTTTACCATTTTGATCAAAACTGTTTGGCTCTATTACCTCAATTATATCCTGAAATACAGTATAAAATCCTTATTTAAAAGGCATGCTATTTTAATTTATGAAGTAGAGATGAATACCTAAAGTTCCAGGATGTCTTCAGTGAATAATAACCATACCGCAGATTCTGTGCTCACGAACCTTGATCAATACCTCAGCTCATTTAATCCTCACAAAATCCTATAAACTAGCTCCTGTGGCTTTTTCCATTCCTCAGACAAGAACTTGGGGATGAAAGCAAGTATGTGACTTATCTGAGGTCACATTTGGTAAGAGATGCAGACACAGCTCGAGCTTATGATCAAGCTGCCTCAACATTACACAGGTATCACCAACAATTACGACCTCAGTCCTAAGGCAACTATGAGAAACTTTACCATTAAAAAGTTAATCCTCTGTGCTAAGAATGATTTATTTCTTGGAGTCTGTAAAATAACATTACTTTTCTCTCAAAGCTCCTTGACAACACACCTCAAAAGCTTGGTTTTTCAAAGGACACAATTGCTCAGTTGGAGGAAGTGCAGAAAGAAGAGGTCCTAAAAATAGCTGAAATAGGTAAAAAGTAGAAAATAAAAGGGCATTGAAGACAAATGTATCCACTTCATCATTTTGCTTAGAACCAACCATTTATATGGAAGGGAAGGACAAATCTTAACAGTTGGGAGGCCAGTGCTGTGCTCAACAGCCTAATCCTCTAGCTGCAAATGTTAGCAACCCATATGGGCGCTGATTCCTTGCTGCTCCACTTCCCACTGGCCTCCCGGCTTGTAGCCTGGAAGGGCACCTGAGGATAACCCCAGACCTTGGGACCATGCACAGGTGTGGGACACCTAGAAGAGACTCCTGGCTCCTGACTTTGGATTGGCCCGGCTCCAGGCGTTGCAGCCATACAGGGAGTGAACCAGCATATGGAAGGCCTTTCCGTCTTTGTCTGTCTTTTTCTCTGTAAATCTGTTTTTCAATAAATCTTTTTTTAAAAGTTGGTGGGGATTTTAGATTAAAATTTTAAGATTATATTGTCACTTTTCATACAAATATACAAATGCTTTTTTTTCTTCCCTCTTTGGAAAAGTGTATGAAACTGTTAATATTATGAGGCACAGTCTATGTTGTCTTCATCTTTTGTATCTAAAACCACTGGCACCTTGCTCATCCCACACTGGGTATGCCAAAATGTTGAAAATTGTTGTGAAAACTGAGCATCTACTGAGGTAAAGTTTAGGGACTAATTGTTTCTAAGTATGAAAAGCTGCTAATTACCTTAATTGTGCAACAAAATAATGTGCTCAATATGCACTTACATGTATATCATAACACCGAGGAGTTACATACACATACGTGTGTATGTATGTGCATATATACACACAAATATATATAAACGTACACATATGCTCATACATACACACATTGTGGAATAAATAAATACATAAATAACTTGGCTGAATCTATGAAAAAGTCAAGCTATGGTGATGAAGGAATCCCTATACCCTTGTCCTGGAGGTACTGCAGAAGGGCTGCTCACACATTTGGCCACACAGCCTCATGGCCACAGCGTGGGGACTTGTTCTAGGCATAGGAACAGCCTAAGATTTTGTTCAATACTTCTAAACCACAGAGAGTTTGGTTCTCATTAAAAAAATTTTTTTTGATCAAATCTCAGCTAAGCATAGAATCAAACCCCTTCCCCAAATCCATATTTCTCTGTTTTTAATACTTAAGACCAGGCCAACCTTTTTTTAGACGTTTTTTCTCACCTAAAACTCATTCTACTTAATTTACACTATCCTTGAATCTGTACACTTGGAAGTATTGTGATGTGATATACAGGAGAACAACGCTCCCAGGAAACGTCCTACCAGCGTGGCACAGTATGCTGAGGACTCAGCATGCAGTCTCTGACTCACATCTGCAAAGCTTACAGACATTTACTGTACAATGGTCAGCTGTAGAAGTTACCACACGCTACCCACAAAAATGCAGAAAAGCAGGCAACCCTCTAAAACAGTGGTACAGAAACCCCCCCCCTTTTTTTTTTTAAAAAAAATCAAGGGCCATTCAGATATTTGTAACATTCATGGGCCATATGCAATTATCAATTGCTTAGCTGGACCAGGCCCAAAGAGCTTGCAGGCTTACACTGCCTATGAGTCAGTTCCTGACCCTTGTTCTAAAGCATTCGTCTTCATAGATTTTCCTGTTCTACTACTATTTCCTCTTCCTAGTTTTTGGTTAAATTTTTATCATAGACACATTTAAATATAATCAGAAACCAACAGAACAGTATTATGAATGCCTATGTAACTAACACTCTGCTTTAACAATGATCAATTCATGGACAACTCATAAATACCTACCCCCATTTTATTTGAAAGCAAATCCCAGATATTATATATTTTGTCCATAAGTATTTCACATTTGCTTTCTTCCTAATCCTTTTTTAGGTTAACCCGATCTGATTAACATTTTTTCCTACCTCCTAAAGGTTTGCTCTCACTTTGGAAAGCCCATTTATTCATCCCACGTTTATTGGGCACTAAGTACACACTAAATAATTACACACAAACTGTGTTACCTAATTCTCAAAATAACCCTGCTAGGTGTTATTATTCTATTTCACAGATAAGCAAAAGACAGATATCACAGGTAGTAAATACAAAGCCAAGATGTGAAGTCTCAAACAGTTTTATATCCAGCACCCATTTTAGTATAAAACTAATCTTGGAGGGAGATTTACTGTTCTATTTCTTTCTTGCTATTACTAACAGAAAAACCTCTTAGATTCCCCTGAAGTCAGGAAAATAAGAAAGAACAATGAGACTGTTCTGTTTTGTTGCAAGGCAAGGGAGGAGGAAAGGCCTGGTTGACAATCAGGGAAAGAAAACTCAACTGGCTACTTCACAGGAGCAATAAAAATATATATCAAAGGAATAACTGGGGACCTGTGCCGAGACAACAATGTCCTGATATACTGAAAAGGGGCTGAAGGAGAGATTGTGATGTGCCATCTGATTGGGGCAAATTCCTGGTAAAACGGAATTCCAAGTGTTCTTTACTATAGTATTTCTCAGCACTGTCTTCAAAAAAAAAAAAAAACAATTATTTTATTTGAGAGGTAAAACATCAGCTGGGGCTGGGGCCAAGGAGAGAGAGAGAGAAAAAGAGAGAGAGAAAGAGAGAGAGATTTTTTCATCTGCTGGTTCATCTTCCCAAACAGCCACAACATGCAAGGCAGGAACAGGCCAAAAGCCAGGCGCAGTGACTCCATCTGGGTATCCCTTGCGGGTGGCAGGGACTTAAGCAGTTTGCCCACAGTCTGCTGCTTTTCCAGTTGTATCAGCAGGGAGCTGGACTGAAAGCAGAGTAGTCTCAGCTCGGACGGCAATAGGACATGGGATGCTGCTGTTGCAAGTGGAGCTTAGCTGCTGAGTCACAACGCCAGCTCCTGTTATTGCACAACGTGAAGGTGTAATGTGCACCATCACTTAAGAGACAGGCCCCCCACGTCAGAGTGCTGTGTGTAGTTCCAGGCTCCAGACGCTAGCTTCCTGTTGATACACACCTAGGGGGCAGCAGAGATGGCTCAAGTGGTTGGGTTCCTACCTGTCATGTGGGAACTCTGGATCGTGTAGCCGTCTCCTGGCTTTGGGAGGAACTTGCCAGGCGGGGGAGGGAGGAGGGCATGTGGGTGGTGGAGGAGCTTGATCTGTGTGTTTTTCTTTCTGCTTCTCAAATGAAAAAAAGTTTCAAAGAGGAGTTGGGAAGTGCAGCAATTCTCCAACTTAGGGGTGAAGGTTCTTATGTAGGGCTGGAAGTTGCAGGTATCTGGCGACAGTTCCCCTTTTTGTCTCCTCTGCTCAATGCCTGGCAGCCACCATTCTAAGATCTGACTACTCATACAAGCACAGAATGTAAAATAATTGTAACTTTGCTCCTAATTACTGTGAAAATGTTATGTGAATTTAAATCTTAGTATAGAGAAAATTGGGACAAATTCTTTTGTAAGAAGTAGGTTAATTAGAAACATGTATACTGATTTAGGTCTAAAATCCTAATTTTGACTGTCCTGGAATAGCGCTAATGTATTAGTTGCCAAAAAGGTTTTCAAGGAAATGAAAAAGAGACCCACTTCCTCTGCCAGCTGGGTATCAAAAATTCACATCATTTAAAAATCTGTTCACTGGATTTTTTTAAAAGGCTCAAAATTGCTTCCACTGATGAACTAATAGATTTATAAAAAAATTTCCAAATATAACAACATAAAATTCAAGTTATTTGGTGTTTTCCTATATGACCAACAGAATTCAGAAAACTTACCTGAGAGCTACTGAATATAGGCTTTTTGCCAAGTCTTCGATCATCACCTTTGTCAAACGCAGCTGTAAAAAGAAAGAGCAACTTGTTTTCATAGGAAGCATTATTATCACCAGACAAGTAGGGCAGCAGTATACTAGCAGCAAGAGGTTATATTTTGATGGAAATTTTTAAAAGTGAAGCCAATGCAGTGCACAAAAATATTTTAAATTTTTATTTATATGTTTTTAAAAAATAATTTCCCATCTTATTTTCTGCTCTCTGTGCTTTTTGTTGCTTAAATTAATAAACAGGAAAATGCACAATCTCAGAGGAGACTCCTGCATTTACCAAAAACCATCATTTTCTCAAGCTGTGAAATTTGGTTTGAATTCTGTGAAAACCTGGTTTAAGTTTTCCAATTTTCAAGAAAAAATGATGGATTGTGACCAATGATAATATTTTATAAGCTAACATATGTGAGAAAATATTTATCCTATAATATAAAAGTACACAGTTGATATTAAACATTTTTGGGGTTTTGAATTTTATCAGTAGCAAAGAGGAAAGAGATTAAGAAAAGGTTCTGTGGAAAATAAAAAGAAACCTCAAACTCATTATTCTTTTTAGAATTAAATGAAAATTCACTTTTTAAGTTCGGTTAATATGGGAATGATGGGAGATCACATTAGCGGTATTAAAATGAGAATCAGAATGACGTCAGGAAAGGGTATGGGAGCGTAAGTATAGCTTACTGCATTTCTTTCCTTTGAAGGTTACAGGGTTTTAAGATTATTTTGAAGAAACACGCAGGAACTACAAAGATTATCTAATTTTTATGAAGTCAGCTAGTAGGAAATAGATTACATTATCTACCACCTTTTCATGCATTTATCACCGTCTCTTTTTTATTAGGTATGTGCTGTAGGACAATACAGGACCCTGGTAATGGCATTACAAGAATTGACTTCTAGTAAGCAAATGACTCTGCACAATACCACACAGGAAGAAATAATAAAAGCTTTCCTTCAAAAGGTCAGTAACTCAATCAGAACATAAGAAATGTTGTAACAAGACAATGCAGATCCATTCTTTTATTTGATATAACAAATGCAGTAATTATAGGAATCATTATAATTCTATATGTGCAAGATTTCTACAAAATATTATCACACTGATGTAATGCAACAGAATAAAAATATTTAATAATTGCCTCATTGGTAATATTTTATTTAATATGTACACATGCATATTATATGTCTATTTTAATTAGCACTTTGAATAATTAAAGATTGTTTGAAAAGCTCAACTTGACTATGAGATCCTTTAAAACAGGAATCCAAAGTTTGCTGCCACAGAAGGGAGTTGAAGGACATTTGCTTAAAGAATGCTGATCCTGTTTCTTCATATTTGTACAGATTTTGTAGCAAAAACAGGCTACTCATCTAAGAATCAGCATGGAAACAGTCACAGTGTAAAAGACTTGTATTTCTAAAGACCTTCTTTTCAGGAATTTTCTGGTTTATAAAGTGGAATTTCTTTGAAAAGTGCTCCTCACATCACATCTTGTTGCACTATCTATCATCTTATGCTTAAAATGCGAGACAGAGCAGATCACACAGTATATTACTGAAGAATTTGCTTTATCTATGCATTATCAAGAACATACTTTATCATGTTTGGCTCCCACATTTTATAGTACAAAAATGTTTGCTTCAGGAAATATAATCTGTCCATTAAAGATATTTTTAAAAGTATACTTGCTGAATATGCCAGTATTTTTTCTAAGTACCCGCTTTAACACTGAAATAATCACAAAGCCATTTTTAACTCTACACCCTTAGATTTTTATTCCAATATTTTTTAAACAAATGAGCATTCTGGGCAATGTGCATCTTTTGTTTAACGCTAATGTTGCAAATGGTACCTATTAAATGTCAGAGACTACTCTGCGGCTCCTGAGGGACTCTCCGCAATAGCACACAGCGATCAACTGTAAAAGAAACCCTTCTAATCGAGACAAAACCACAAGAAAGCACGGCTTATGAAAAAGATAGATAAGCTTTATGGCAAAATATAAGTGGGAAGAGAAAGTGTGTTTGGTAATTTGTACAATGTGGATTACATTTTCAAATACTTCTAATTTCTCCAAACGAATGCTTTAAAGCACATTTGTCTGGCATACTGTTGCTAATATATGCAGTAGGATTAAAAATTAGCATATATAAAGGAAATGAGTTTCATTTTCTACGAACAGAAAAAAAGAAAGTGTGATTTTCAGCCTGCTTAAACATCCTACCACAGTTTCAGTGAGCATCCTATTCCTGAACTGAAGCATACAAATGTTAATCTGACCACTTGGCAGAAATGCCCTCAAAACATCTGCTGTCGCGGAAATCATAAGAATAAAAAGGAATTCCAAGGTTAACATACCTGCTTGGATTTTGTGTTGATCATCCGTGCTCATCAGCGTCCAGCCCTCTGTGTGACGAACAGCGTAGAAAGACTGAACCAGGAAGATCCACAGCTTATCACGCACAGCCTGGATCTTGCACGTAAAACCCTGTGTTCAAGCAACAAATCAGCAGCTGGTAAGAGCCACATTGTCATAGCAACCAGTCATTATTCCTTCCCGAATCTACTTACTCCTAAGCTAAATCAATGATGTCATCACCCAGATTTTTAAGATCGCTGGTACATGTAATTTACAGAGGTTCACTCAGTAAAAACAGAATTTCATAGTGAACCTGAAGCCAAATTTTACCTTTGCAAATAACATTATTTTAAAACACTAATAGACTTTACATGGACATCTTCCATAGTGTTTTCAAATCAATCATCATTTTACAAGGTCAACTACTCCAAGATACAGTAATAAATATGAAAAATGTTATCATTGTTGTTGAAAACAAATGATAATTTATGATTAATTTATTAATTATCACTGATTAATTACACTTAAAAGAATCATAGTTCAATTCTTATTTCTTTCCAGTATCATTCTAAATATGATTTTATAAGAATGAAGACTAAATTATGAGATAAAATAGATGGATAATTAAAAATTCTATAACATATATTTTATCTTTAGAAAATTTAAGATGGTCACTAGAAAGAAATATTATGAGTTACGTTGTGCCAAATTGTATTATTAGTAAGTATCACACTGTGTTTAAGATTAGTCAGCCAAAGTGCCAAATTCAAAACTTTTTATACCAAATACAACTGGAGGTAAATGGAATTTTTAAAATCTTACATTGCAAAATCTTCCAAACATACATCAGTGAAATCAAGTCCTGGATTAATAGATGCAGACATTTTAAAATGCTAAGATATTGTGTTACTTTAATGAATGGTAATACATTCAGTACCATTTCCTTTGTACTGTCAGAACTTAGTAACGAGTCCAGAGCCATGAGGAGAGGGCAGCTATTTTCAGTAGTAAGGTTTTCTTCAATGGTTTTTAAAATTTTGTCCAACAGATCAGCTGTGCTGCTCATTGCTTGTGACTATAAAACACAGAAATTGGTATTTAATAGGAAAACATGTGCAAGAAAAATGAAACTGTTATGACAGTAGAATAACCCGTATGAAGTCAGCTGGAAATTATATTCACTCTCTCCTTTTCCTTTGTTTAAAAAAATCTGTATACATACACACATTTGAGGGAACTTCAGAAATTCATGGAAAATGGAAATAAAAGTTTATTTTGTTATAAAAAAATTTGAAACCTATGTATATTTTTTCACAATATGCACTCTCCAAGAATTTTATGAAGATTCCACCTTTACATATATTCATACACATTAAGGGCAACACAATCCTAATAACACCAAGCTAAAGATGGACATCACAAGTTTCATTTTCAATGATTACTTTTAGAGGAAGCAGCTATCCAGTAAAACAAGAAATGTACCATGAGCCATAACTGTATTGCTAACCAAAACAACAGCTTTATGACTCTGCCCTCTAAAATGTAACTATGCTGATTGAGGGCCGCAGTTGGCCATAGTGACACTGTGCCTTGCTAGTACACTCAAACCTGTCTCTCCTCGCCTGCATTATCTTGTGAGCCAAAAATCCTGTCCGTTCATGCTCCTAGTCCTATGCAAACATGCCATCTGCTATGGAATTTACTTAAGACACACTAATTGAATCAAAGGCAGCCTGCATTTTAAAATCCTTATGCAATTAAAATCAGAGCACAAAGATGGGGCTATATACAGAACAAGATTTGAGGCATGGTACCTGTAGAAGAAGAGCAAAATTTTCACTTTGGATAATCTTGGAGAAGTTGTTTACAATAAATGCAATACATTCCTCCTGGAGCTGTGATGCCATCGTCAGTGCTGCTTCTGTCCACTTCACCCTGGGCAGGCTGCTGACGAGCCTGTCGCTTTCCATCAGAAGAAAAGCAGCATTCTTATCATTCTTAAAATATGAAGAATATTGGAAAAAAGTTAGATGGTACTATTCCTCATCAAATAACTTCTTAATCATACATGCTTGTTATATTCCCTGCAAAAATCAATATGGTATGTAGTTAAAATCTCTGTCATTAGCTTTATTTATTTATTTAAACATTGCTTTATTTTTTATTAGAAAAGCAGATTTATAGAGGGAGTGATAGAGAGAAAGATCTTCCATCTACTGGTTTATTCTCACATGGCCGCACTGCCTGGAGCTGAGCCAATCTGAAGTCAAGAGTCAGGAGCTTCTTTCTGGTTTCCTATGTGGGTAGAGGGTCCCAAAGCTTTGGTCAATCTTCTACTGTTTTCCCAGGACACAAGCAGAGAGCTGGATGGGAAGCTGAGCAGCCAGAATACGAACCAGCATCCATACCGGAAGCTGGTGTTTGAAGGTGGAGGATTAGTCTTTTGAGCCATAGTGCTGGCCTCTTCAATACATTTTTTTAAACAAACAAACAAATATTCTTGTTTGCAAATTTAGAAAGGATAAAAATTGCTTGCAATCCCCAGTGATTTTTTGTCCCCTTTTCTAATTAGGTAAGACTGACTTGTATGAGTATTTGATCAGGGGATTGGCATGATGGTTCAACAAGCTAATCTTCAACCTTTAAGTCAGTTTATGTTCAGCTGCTCCACTTCCCATCCAGTTCCCTGCTTGTGGCTTGGGGAAGCAGTCAAGGTCGGCCCAAAGCCTTGGACCCTGCATCTGTGTGGGAGACCTGGAGGAAGCTCCTGGCTCCTGGTGTCAGATCAGCACAGCTTTGATCATTGTGGCCACTTCGAGAGTGAATCATGGATGGGAGGTCTTCCTCTCTGTCTCCCCCTCTCTCTGTAAATCTGCGTTTCCAATAAAATAAATCTCTTTTTTTAATCAAACTGATGATTTGCTTTTATACTACAGGAAAAAAACGTTCACAAAAATTGATCTCTATGGCAAATGAAATGCTAATTCACAAATATTCTGTGCTCCAAGGAAAAGGAAAAATCATCAACTTGTACATTACTTCATTTTATTCATATCTTATTTCTAGCTATTAATAACAATACTTAGTAGGTAACTAATTACTGATTAAAGAACTACCCAGCAGGCTGTAGTAGACTGAAAAGCATGGCCACCATGTTTTACAGCCTCACCTACAGAAAGGTAGAATCTACCTCCCCATGCCTGGAGGCTGGACCGGCTCTTCCACTTGATTTAACTAACCTACCAACGGTGGTGGGATGCAAAATCCAGAGCCTACCTCAAGAGGCCCTGTAGCTTCTGCCTTTCCCCTCCTGAAATCCTCTGGGCACACAAAAGCCTGATAAGACTACATGGAACAGGAGGTCCAGCCTTGAGCTTAGCTATTGGGTGAATACAATCATGGGAGTGGGGTCAGGCACAACTGTCACATCCAGAGAATGGTGACAATATCGCTTTCAGTCACTTAGCTTTGGGGTGATCTGCAATACTAAATGTGAACAGTGCCATGTGGACTTACCGTTTCATTCAGCTCTTCATAAAAGCATCACATTTTTCCTGATCCCCACACCTACATTAGAATTCATTTACACATGCTCTCAGGAAACACATCCATCTTCTCTAATGCATTTAATTCTCTTGTAATTTTGTGAACAAGACCATCATCATTTACTAATGCTTGTTTCCCTCACAAGGCTTATCTTCCCTAAGTATGGATCCCTGTACTGGCCTGCTCAAACACAACTATATCCTCAGTGCTTGACAAAACTGATCCAGAATAGACACTCAAATATTTGTTGATCTAATTCTGATCAAATGTTGAGAATTTGTTAGCATACTTCAAAATGTTCATGGAAAATGAAATTAAGAGCTAAGTTCATTTTGGTACAAAAATTTTTTAAATACATGAATAGTTTATCATAACACATAATTTTCCATGAACTTTTTGAAGACATCTTGTACATGTAAATTATTAAAAATAAGCTTAATCCTCAAATATCAAAACTTTAAAATTTCTACATTTAGCAATATTTTAAAATGTATTATATATCCCATTGCTTTGGGCAAAAAATTCTAATTTTTCTAGAATTCAAATCATTTTTCTTTTAGTATAATTATCATTTCCTCCTTTGGAGAATTCCTGAGCAACTGTACAATTACTAAAACTTTTAGGCAATAATCCCAATTTACTATAATCACTGCTTTGGGTAATACAGCCAAATATAAAGTATTCAAATAAATTTGGCAAGTATCTGCAAAGTGTTTAATATATATATGTAAATGTATATATGTATATATATATACATGTTAACTGCTTTGATAGCAATTTTTAAAATTACAGTTAAAAAATATAGTAGTTATAATCTAGTTTGGAATCTATTAAAATATGGACATGGGTAAGTGGTAACACTGATGATACATCTTACTCCATGCTGACATGACTATATGACAGTCATTAAATGCTAGAGCATTCTGAAGTTCAAAGAAAAAAATATTATAGTCCCATATTACATACATTTAAATTTACTGGTTAATGCAGTTTAAAAATGCATAAAGGACATGACTATAAAAAGTTTTCCTCTCCTTTTCATCCCTGTCCTACCCAATTTATAATTTTATAATGCTGTCTTCTTCCTGTTTTTCCTGTTACATTCTACCATACAAACACAGTGTAACAGTTATATGCTCCGTGATGGTGCTTCACAGGGCACTGCATTCAACAGTGGCTCCATACATCAGAAGGAAAGTGGAACAGGAAAGCAAAGGTACAGAAGAGACAAAAGAAAAGGAATCTGCAGGAAGCGGCAGAGAAGAACCTCCAAGAAAATTCAAAGAAGGGTCAACTACAAGCCTTTGTAATTTCCTTAAAAAGTCTGAAAATGAACTCCAACACCAGTAGGTTTTCATTAGTAAAGAGCAAGGTCTGGGCCCAGTGTGGTAGCATAGTGGCCGAAGTCCTTGCCTTGCACTCACTGGGATCCCGCATGGGCACTGGTTCGTGTCCTGGGGGGGCCATGCTTCCCATCCAATCTCTGCTTCTGGCCTGGGAAAGCAGTGCAGAATGGCCTTGAGACCCTGAACCCATGTGGGAGATCTGGAGGAGGTTTCTGGCTCCTGGCTTCGGATTGGCTCAGCTCTGGCCATTTTGGACACTTAGGGAGTGATCTTCCTCTCTGTCTCTCCTCCTCTCTGTGTATCTGACTTTCCTATGAAAATAAATTAAAAAAAAAAAAAAAAACAAGGTCCATGAGGACCTAAAATTAAGTCCCAGCTCTCAAACCAAGGCATTTCAATACAGATAATGGGCATCTTAACCACTAGAAAACACCCACATTTGGAAACATTTTTGTAAACCATATGATGTATTTGTATTTTAAGTGTTATTATAAACAGTCAAAAAATTATCAGGTAACAACATGACATCAAAATGAGGTTAATTTATTCTTGAAGAAAGAAAAATAATGAAAAACATTTTTAAAAGAAATATAGTTTAAAATAAAGTTAGTGTAGTCAAAAGTTCAGTGTTTATGAACACTACAGAAGTGTAGTGTCCTAGACCTTCAAGTTCACCCAGTACTCACTCACTGACACCCACAGCAACTTGCATCCCTGCACGTCTTTCATATGAAAAACAGCCTTCACAGGTACAGCCTGTTTAGTTTATTATTCTGTGTTTTACTGTTTTGTGAGTATGCTTAAATATACAGATACCATTTTGTTATAACTGACTACAACCTTCAGTACAGTAACCTGCTGAAAAGGTGTGTAGTCCAGGAGCAGCGACTGCACAGCAGTCTCTAAGTGTAGCAGGCTAAGCCACGTATGTTTGCATAAGTACACTCCGTTGTTTGCACAACAAAATCTTCAGAATCTATTCCTAGTGTTCAGTGATGCTTCACTGTGCATGTAATTTTCCTCATATTTTACTCAAGTGGGACATTAATATGCATAGTTCTTTGTATCCTGATCTTTATACTTAATTTATATCTTAAATATTTTTAAGTGTGTAAAGTGTACACATTTTTGTTTAAATAGCTGTTATAGCCCTTAATATAGAAGTAATTTAATCAGTCCTATATAGATATTTTCATTGTTCCCATACCCATATTTTATTTTTATAGTGTCTTAATATTTACCATGCATGTAAAATTATTTGATACTATGTGAATATAGCTCCAGGATACATTCCTAGAAGTGGAAATGTTGGGTCAATGTTATGTGGATTCTGCATTAAAACTGAGCTGGATGAACAGGCCAGACACAGATGTCTTACTTTGGGAAGTGGCCCCAACAGACTCCAACGCCCTAGGAGAGTCAAACAAGGAATGAAGCAAAACCAACCTAACAGTGTTGTTTTTTCCTTTTTTGTAAACGTTTATTTATGTATTATTGCAAACTCAGATATACAGAGAGAAGGAGAGACAGAGGAAGATCTTCCATCCACTGATTCACTCCTCAAGTGGCCACAATGGCTGCAGCTGTGCCGATTCAAAGCCAGGAGCCTCCTCCGAGTCTCCCACATGGGTGCAGGGTCCCAAGGGTTTAGGCCGTCCTTGACTGCTTTCCCAGGCCACAAGCAGGGAGCTGGATGGGAAGCAGGGCCGCCAGGATTAGGACCAGCGCACCCATATGAGATCCCAGTGTATTCAAGGCAACGACTTTAGCTGCTAGGCTACCACGCTGGGTCCAACAGTGTGTTTTCTAACTCGTTGCAACTCAAAATGGCATGGGCATCAGCTAGAGTTCCTCTGTTCACTTGCCAGGTTAGAACCTTGATTTACACAAGATCCCCAAATGTTTCCTATTTACACTAATGTTGGAAAAGCACTGATCACACACTATTGCAGGCAACTGGGGCTCAGTAATTTGGGTGGCTTGCTAAGGAGCCATGAAAGACACACTGGGACAAAACTTGGAAAGAGTTTCAACACTGGTTACCATCTCCCATCCATCAAGGCTGACTACCTGTGGGGCTAACTCCCTTCATGAGCAGTTCACATGGATCAAAATGGCTGAGCTGTGGGATGGGCATCCCTTGTAGAGCAGCAGAGAAGGCTTGAGGATGGTGATGAGAGATGTGTGATGTACCTGAGACAAAGTGCTGTTCAAAAACACCCAGGTACAGCCAGATGCTGCAGAAATGGTTGTAGTATGTTCACCAGGAGCTTCCAGAACACTGTCAATACACATCTGATGGAGCACTGTGATTCTCAAATATTAGATACCTCCTTGCAGCCTGGAGCCACGTACTTAAATGGCTCACAATCTGCACTAGAAAAACAATGAAGAAAGAAATGGGGATGGGGCAGCACTGGAAACTGAAGAACGAAGAGGGAGTGAGAGAAAGACACAGAAAATACCAGGACATCACAGGTTCTTCTGTGAATGTGGTGTTTCAGCTCTGTATGTATTAGTCTGCATGGCCATCGTGGGTATCTGGGGAGTGAAGCAGTGGATGACAGCTTTCTATCTCATTGCTCTTCAAATAAAATAACTAAATGAAACTATTAGAAACAGACAGGCACACTAAAAAACAAAAAACAAAGACTGCTTGAGGAGCGATGGCAACACCAAGATGCCAGGATATGAAGTTCTAAGCCCTTCTTCCCCATGAACACATCAATTAAATAACAACCGATGGGCAAATTCTCCCAATTCTCTTGATAAGAATTCCAGAAACTACTTGAGGCTCTCGGGCCTGGGTGAATGCAAAATTAGACATTTGAAGCTGGCAGGGAAACTGGGGACACTTCCTCCCCAGAATCCTTACCTGTAGTGAAGAGCCATGCAGCTCTCAGCTCTCTGAGAATGGAAAAGGACGGATCAAGCATAAATTTGTAGTATATTTAAAGTCCCTATCTTGCATGTGCCGGGATCCCATATGGACGCCGATTCTAATCCCGGTAGTCATACTTCCCATTCAGCTCTCTGCTTGTGGCCTAGAAAAGCAGTAGAAGATGGCTCAAAGCTCCTGGGGACCCTGCACCTATGTGGGAGACCCAGAGGAGGCTCTGGGCTCCTGGCTTCAGATCGGTATAGCTCGGCCTGTTGCAGCTCTTTGGGGAGTGAATCAACAGACAGAAGATCTTCCTCTCTATCTCTCCTCCTCTCTGAATAATGGATTTTCAAATAAAAATAAATATATCTTTAAAAAAAACCTGTAGCAAATTATACAAGACTGAACTTTTTTTCCTAAAGATTTACTCATGGGTCCAGTGCAGTAGCCTACTAGCTAATGTCCTCACCCTGCACCCTGCAACTGCTGGGATTCCATATGGGCACCGATTTGTATCCTGGTTGCTCCATTTCCCATCCAGCTCCCTGCTTGTGGCCTGGGAAAGCAGTCAAGCACAGCTGAAGGCCTTGGTACCCTGCACCCACATGGTAGACCCAGAAGAAGGTCCTGGCTCCTGGCTTCAGATCAGCTCAGCTCTGGCTATTGCAGTCACTTGAGGGGTCAACCAGCACATGGAAAATTCTGTCTCTGTCTCCTTCTCTCTGTAAAATCTGCCTTTCCAATAAAAATATGTAAATCTTAAGAAAAAGAAAGAAAAAAAATCCCTCCTAGCAGTCCATCTGAAAATGAACTAAAGAATTGAATATACATTTCTTTGAAAAAGACACAAATGGGAAATAGGTACTCAACATCACTAATCACCAGAGAATGTAAATTAAAACCATAAATGGAAGATCCAAAATGACTGAAGAGTCAGAAGTTGCACTGACTTCAGCTTTGGAAGGATAAGGGAAAAACAAAAGCAGGGCCAGGTTTAAAGGGGGCTGACAGACGGACATGTTCAGTGGAGAAATGACAGAAAACGAGACTCCATGGACACTGACAAAAGAGGACAGACACACCTCTGCAGCTGGCCAGGCAGCACAAACAACTTCCGGCACAGACTGTCACCTCTCCAAGACGGGGCAAGAGTAAGGTGCCTTGTGCCCTACTGCAAGCAGCTCTAGCTAAGGCAGACTTCCACAGGCCTCCGGTGACTTTAACTCCAGCCTGGGAAGCCAACTGGAGTCTGAGTGACTGCTTGACCCCCAGAAGGGAAGCAGACCATCCCTTCAGAACTATGCATTATGCTGTGTCAAGTCGCACAGCAGGTCTGATGCACTGCTACGGCAAGCAACCACGGCCAGAGTCAGGGTGATCTGCGGGACACAGAGCAGACCCCAGCAGCCTGCAACTATGGCAGTGTGGGGCTCAAGTCTTGGAACTGTGTTCTCTCACTCTCTATAACATTTTAAGTCCATATTGCTGAGCCAATGCATAAACTCCATCTCTGGCATGATGTCCCCCTTTTCAATGAACCAATATTCGGCCCCAATGGTTCTGCTTGCTTGATTTCATCTTGGCTCACTGATGAACTGGACACTGAGAACAACTCCAGAGGAGAAGAATCTTAAGCCTTGGCTTTCTGGATTCCTCCTGTATTATCTAGAATGGATTCCCTTACGTTGCTTTTATAATATTGCACATTTACATACAAATCTTTGAAAGTGCTATATACACATTTTTTTTTGTAAAATTTTGACACATACACAAACAAGGGTACTCACTAAAGACTCAATCAACATATTAAGGCAACTTTTCTGAATCTCAGAAGGTACATTTGCAAAGCTTCTCTCAGACCAAAACCTTGCAAAATGCTTCACAATACACCTATCAAAAATCAAAAAATCTCAGGTTAGAGAAATGAAAATACTTTTCTTTAGAACAGTCAATAATGCTTTTGGCTTTTAATTATTAAAAATTACATACACATGCTTTGATTAACCTTTACTACTAAATTTATTGAGCTCAAACATGAACATAAGCATTCTACCTTTGCAGTAGACCCATATTTTTGAACAAAGTTTGGGTTATATACACAGATTTTAATATAATCAAACTATGGTTTGGTTAAAATAAAATTGATTCCAAGTATCTGAATAGTGTCCAAATCAGTATTTCTATTCAATTGATGCAATTAGTTAAGCCACTTGCAATGTGCCCAGCAATATAAGTTAAATCTACTTGTATGCAAAATTAGGACAATATCCCAAAATTAACAAATCAGAACTATTTAACTACTTAAGATAACTTACTTCATGCAGTCTGCAAAAAGGGTTTCCACTCCAACTGAATGAGCGATAATAAGGCATTCTAGTATAGATGCCAACGTTCTGGGGACAGGCTAAAATTGATAGAAAATACCATATTTAATCTTTTTCAATTAACTGAGGCTAAAAAGATTTGGTTCACAAAGATAATCTGATTTGTATACCTAAACTTTCACACACAAGCATGTAATCCAAGGGCAGGCATTCGGCCTGATGATTGAGATGCTGCCATACAGATGCCAGTTCAGACACCCAGACCCAGCACCGAAGTGTGAGTTTTGCTTCTGGCTCCAGCTCCTGAATCCAGATTCCTGCTAATGCACACCCTGGCAGTGACTGGTGATGGCTCATGTAAATGGACTGCACCTCCTCTGTGGAACAGCAGAGTTTAGCTGCTGCCTCTGACCTGGCTTGGCCCAGCCCACCGACTGCCAGCATTTGAGGATTGAATCAACGCATGGGAGAGCTCTTTGTCTCCTTCACTCTGCCTTTCATGTAAATAAATGAACAGTTTAAAAAAAAAGTGAAAATGGACTCCAGCAAAATATCATATTCATAATTAAAAAGAAACTTGATGTCCTGTCTTCCTGTTGATTTAATAAATATGCCTTTGTTGTTGCTAAAATTAAGTGGATTATTCAAAGTAAATATGAAAATCTGCATATAACCCATATAGCCTCAAAAGTATAATAAGGCCTGGAAGTAAAGAGCCAAAGATTATTTATCAAAGAAAACTATTTTTATGTTAGTCAAATGTAATCAGTTTACTGAGAAAGCCTAGAGGAAAATACTAAGTTTGGGGCTTTTTTTGCCAATGCTTCTAATCATGTTATGTTAAATCCTCCATTTTTCAATCCCTTAATGATAATACAGGCAGTTTCCATGGCTTTCTGGTTATTTTGTAATTGAAATTCAGTAGAACAGGATGATAACATGTGTCTTATTTCTGAGTTAATGTTCACTCTCACCATCACCGACCAGGTTCATGGTAGGAGGGCTGTGGAATACAAAGGGTGGCATGGACCATTTTCCTATTCCTCCAGTTCCTGGGTCAGGCCACATGGAAGAGGACTGTGGAGGGTTATGGTCACTTTACGTAATTATGCAGAGACCAGAACAGCAAGAAGCTGTCCTTGACCTTGCTGTAATCCAGATGCTGTTAGCCTTTGTTGCTGGGGTAACTATTTCAGGCTTTATTCTGGCCTCTCAGTGGTTCATGAGGAACAAGGCCTCCCAAGGTGGGCCATGGTGTCAGTCTCCTTTGGCTCTCATGGGACCAATCAGGCCCTCCTGAGTGGTTCAGGGATAAATGCAAAGCAGACCCTCCATATATTTACATATTTTTCTATATGCCAGTGACCAGGCTGGTCCTGACCTCTCCAGCAAGTCTCTTCCCATCAGAAACTGGCACACTGCAGGATATTCTCAGTGGCTTTTCAGGCATATTCCAAGCACTGTCAGGAAATCTCATCAGTTTCTTTTTTTTCTTGTTGGAAGCTCCAGGGTGGAAATGTCCATCTGGGAGATGAGGAAACATCATCTGCTCGCTGGAGACAGTTCCTACCTTTGACCTTTGTGATACATTCCTTTGACTAGGAAGATGGAGGAGGTATGTGAAGGCAAAGGAAATCTATCAAGCTGAGGACACCAGGGGCTGCTCTCCTAATTCCCGCAGAGGCTGGAGTGTGTGGTTAGTGAAAGGTGGTTGAGGGTCAAAGCATTTTTCTCAGTAAACCTAGAGGGCAGTAGTGGTGGTAGCACTGGCCATAGATGTTCAAGACTCTTTTTAAAAATGTGGACTGGTTCCTTAGCTCTTACTTTTGTGAAGGTAAGAGAAGTCCCACCCAAAATGAAAATCTAAATTCACACGTTACTAAAATGACTTAGAGATTTATACAACTTATATTATTGCCTTCAGTACCCAATACAGGGAAATATAATAGAAACAAGTCATTTGAAATTTATTTTTGATGATTGTAAAACATGCTCATTGTAGCAAATGTTATAAAAGCATAAATAAGAAAGTGAAGATACCCTATAGTCAGAGTACTTTAAAACAAGAAAGAATTTAAGGAATTATATACAAAAGGGTTTTGAAATATGAAGTGAGGGAGCTCCCTTAGATGGAAAATTCACCTTTGTGTAAACTACAATTAAAAACAGCTGATATTCACATTGTATCTGGGAAGACAGAGAAGAACTCCATCCCATCCAAGTACCAGCAAGAAGGGTATATAGTTTCAGACAAAAGAACCAATGAAGCATTGTGTAGCTCTGTGATAAATGGCTAAGGGTGGCAAGGACCCAAGCATTTGGGTCATCTTCTGTGGCTTTTCTCAGGTAATCAGCAAGAAGCTGTATCAGAACTGGGACAGCCGGTCACAACCCCACACCTATACGAAACTCCAGTGTTGCAGGCAGTGGCTATATCTGCTATACCACAATGCTAGCCCCTGACTTAATATTTTTAATATTGAAATAACTATTATTATAGTAGTGAAAAATACAGGAGGTAATAATGAGCAACTTAAAGCACTAAGGTAATATTTTTGAGACTTGATCATTACCTTCTGAAAGAAATTACAGTAATCTCTTCTTAAAATATAGATGGCTACTTCTTTCAATCCTTCTAGTCCATACATATCAGCCATATTGAGTACCTGACTAAAATAAAAATAGATATACAGTTAATTCTCAAATATAAAAATCAAGGCACAATATATATTAATTTCTTAGTAACATAGCCCATTTGGGCAAAAAAGAGTAATCTGAATTACATAAATTCAAATTTTTGCCTTAGATATTAATATTCTTTATGAATCAAAAATTTGAAAAAAAAAGAGCAAATGCTGAAATCACTGAAATATGATTTAATTAGTGGGAAATAACAAGCAGTATATTTGGAAATATTTGAAATTCCTCAAATATATTCAATAACATCATGATACTTCAAAAAGTTGGTAGAAAATAGAACTAAAAGATAAGATGTTGAGATTCATGCATAACAACTCTTGAAAAAGTTCATAAAACTGTGTATTATGAAAAAAGTAAGCCTGTATTTTAAAAGTTCTTTGCAGCAAAATAAACTTATCTGTTAATTCTATTTTTCCATGAGCTTCCTGAAGTACTGTTGTATAGAGCAAAATCCAGGAAAATGTTTCAAAGCCTGACAAAGAAAATTATTTGTAACAAATCTGTACAATAAAGGTTGCCCAGAAGTGGGGAAATGCACTGATACCAATCATACTGACAAACTTACAAGTATCTCTGATTGGAGAATGTATCCAAAGACCAGACACACCTGCGGGTGTGTTCTGTGGCTGTATCTCTGCTCACTGACACACACTCTGGGTACCCGGGAAACCTACAAGCCTTGGGAACATGACATAGTGTCTGTCATGAAGGCTGCCAGGGAGATAAAACTTTACTGCTTCCTCAAACAGTATTTCTTTAATTTGAAGTTGAAGAAATCCTAATGAATTTTTAAAATTAAAGGAGCAGATATTACTTGTCTGAAGATAGAAGAACAACAAAAGGGAGAGGCATCTGAGAAATTAGAATAACAAGGTAGACTTTCACTCCTGGATAAGACTTCAGAAGCTCAATGGGCATTTCCCCACAAAGAACCAAGAATCACAGAATTGCTGTTCTTTGAGGTGTCTCCTATTATGTTTTAAAGATTTTCTGCTTCTTTTCTTCTTACGTTGTTTAAAAAAATCATGAAACGGAAAACACACAGCAGGAAATATAACTTATATGATTAGTTTTTTTTTCCCTAAAGACCACTCATCTGTTTTCCAAACAAAAATAAAACTCTTCCAACATAATTTAAATCTAAGAAAGATTTTATCAATCTTTTTACCCTGAGTTGCTAAATTAACTCTTCTAATTGAGTTAACTTGATTGTTTTTAGATATTTTCAAAACATAAGATTTAGCAAAAAAATAATAAAAATGCAGCTTCTACTTTGTAATTCAAATGTAATACTATGCAAAGCATAGCCTGTAAAATTTTAATATTCCTAAGTTTAAAACTACTGAAAAAGTAACACTTACCCAACATTAGTTTTGTCTGGGATATCCAAAGTTCCTCCATATATAAAATGCATCATAATATTCATTTCTATGTAGTTTATACTGAAAAATGAAAGAAAGAAAATGCAAATCCAGAAACACCTTTTAATTGATATCAAAAATATATCCTACTGTGTTATAATTTACTGTCAAGTTAGAATTCTAATCTCATTTTTTAAAAAAAGATTTATTTTATTTTTATTGGAAAGTCAGATATACAGAGAGGAGAGACAGAGAGGAAGATCTTCCATCCACTGATTCACTCCCCAAGTGACAACAACGGCCGATGCTATGCCGGTCCAAAGCCAGGAACCTCTTCCGGGTCTCCCACACGGGTGCAGGTTCCCAAAGCTTTGGGTCATCCTCAACTGCTTTCCCATGCCAACAGGCAGGGAGCTGGATGGGAAGTGGAGTTGCTGGGATTAGAACTGGCGCCCATATGGGATCCCGGGCGTGCAAGGCGAGGACCTTAACCATTGCGCCATCGCGTCGGGCCCTCTAATCTCATTTTTATATGAAAAATACACTCTTCTCATGACATTAATGTAGGTATACCACTAATTTAAAATGAACTGCAACTAGAGATTACTATATCTGCAGTAAAACATTATTAATATATATTATCAAGTCACTGGTTATTTATTGAGAATCTCCTACCACAGACTTTCAGAATTAGAAGTGATTCTATTTTTCAAATATATATTTATTTTAATTTTATTTGAAAAGGTAGAGCAACAGAAGGAGAGAGAAATACAGACTGCCATCCACAGCTCCAGCCTGGCCAGCCCAAGCACAGGGGACTGAGAACTCCGTCCAGGTTTTCCTTGTGGGTGGCAGGAACACAAGTACTTACGGCAATCATGTTACCTTCCAGGATGCACATTGGCATGAAGTTGAATCAGAAGCAGAACCCAAACACTACGATATAGGATGTGGGCATCCCAAGCAGAGATGTAATCCATTGCCCCACAATGTCTGCCTCTACAAGGTTCTAAAGAACCTGATCATAGCCTCAGGACCATTAACAAAGCCTCTAAGAAGCATCTCTGATAAATGTTGTTGCTCAAAGCTTCCGATGGACAGTTCCATCCACTACAAAGTTTCCTTTTATGCTTACAGATTCCTTAATTTCTTTCTTTTTTTAAAAAAAGATTTATTTATTTTTGGGCCTAGTGCAATGGCCCTTGAACACGCCAGGACCCCCTATGGGCACTGGTTCTAATCCTGGCAGTTCTACTTCCCATCCAGCTCCCTACTTGTGGCCTAGGAAAGCAGTCAAGCCCCTGCATCCACATGGGAGACCTGGAGGAAGTTCCTGGCTCCTGGTTTTAGATTGGTGCGGTCACTTGCGGAGTGAATCATTTATTTTTGCAATAATTAAAAAAAATTTAAAAGAAGATTTATTTATTTTTATTTGAAAGGCAGATATACAGAGAAGAGGAAAGACAGAGGAAGATCTTCCATCTGAGGTTCACTCCCCAAGTGGTCACAACAGCTGGAGCTGAGCTGATCCGAAGCTAGGAGCCACTGTCTTCTTCTGGGTCTCCCACACAGGTATAAGGTCCAAAGGCCTTGGGCTGTCTTTGACTGCTTTCCCAGGACACAAGCAGGGAGATGGATGAGAATCAGGGCCACAGAGATTAGAACCGGTGCCCATATGGGACCCCAGCATGTGCAAGGCGAGGACTTCAGCCACTGTGTTATTGCGCCAGATTCCTTAATTTCTAATGCCTATCAATGCCTCTAGCTTAGCTAACAATCCATGTGGCTAATAAACATAAAATAACTAAAATGCAAATCTGATAGCTCTGCACTTTCAAAACTTTTTCACTTTTCTGAGAAGCCTGTAGAAACAGAGTCCAAACTCCTTATCTTGTGGTATGAAGTCCTTCATTATCTGACTTCTGGGTATTTCCCAGCAGCTGCTCCAAGAGAGAAAATGAATTTACTCATCATCCATGCCACAACTACATACATTTCTTTATAATCCATGCATCTACACATACTGTTCACTGTGCTTAAATTGCTTTCCTCCTTTACTTATGTAGCCTTGTAGACGCAAGACATGTGGTTCTTGTTCATCCCTTCCGTGACACTCTCAAGGAAGGATTACAAATTCCTGAATGCTAAAAGCAGTAACCGAGCACTCACCATGAGCCAGTCTCAGAGCTTAGAGCATTCTGAGTGCCTCTGGTTCATTTCATCACCATAACAACTCAATAACAGATACTATGCTTGGTCTAATTTAATAGACGGAGGGGAAAAAAGTAAACTTGTCCAAGGTCAAATGGCTAATGATGTCCTGAAATTTAAATTCAGAATCATTCCAAAGCCTGGTTCTTACATGTCCACTATCCCACTGACAATGTCTCTGGTCACATATTTGTCTTCTCCTGGACTACGTTCCTTAAGGGCCGTGTTGTATCTTCATCTATCTTTGTATCTATCTCAAATACCAGCGGAATGTCAGCAATGACTCAAGAACCCTAGGGTCACCATTTTATTCTCCCAAATAATATGGGATCTCTGCAATAGAAGGAGGCAAGAGTATCAGTAAGATCCTCAGAGACCAAGGAGTATAGTAACTCTAACATCTAGTAACAGGACAACATGAGGAAGTTGAGAAGAAATGGCGTCCCAGAAAGAAGGACTGTGAAAGATATCTGCTTTGATTCTATGTCTTTAAATAATATGCATTCAATACATTGCTGATGATGTTGAGTAAATGGCTTAGTGGTACACCAATAGAGGAGCCTAAATCTTTACAGAACTGCTGAACTGAAAATGTGGGGTTTTTTTTAAATGAATTCAGTAAATTTTCCCTATCCCCACTAGGTTAAGCACTAGTTTCTATAGATTCAAAATTCTGCATCTTTAATACTAATTAGAAAGTCAAATACGTAATACTCTCACTTATGTACTACGGTTATTACAAAAGTTATTAATCTTAGAATAATTAAACATAATATCTGTATTTGTTCATCTAAAACACTAGCATAGTTACTCAAATGTCCATAGACCTTTCCTTAGATTCATCAAGGGTCATCCTTTGCAACATTAATAAGAATTGGCTGTTCATCTTGAAACAAAAGTTGCCTCCAAGACTTGACATATTTAAGAAAAAGATAATGACTAGATAAAAACAAAAGTCCTGTATTAAAATAAATAGCAAAATCTAGATAGTTAAGCCCATATATTAATGTATGTGATAGCTACAAAAAACAGCAAGACTCTGTTTTCTGGCTGTCTTGACAGATGTTTTACCAAGCTGCATTCTCATTATTATATTCTAAGTCATTTTATTTTTACTGGAACTGTTTATAGACATACTTAACTGACCTAGTAAGAAAATTAATTACTCCAATAGCTTACAGTTTATATGGAAAGATTTAAAGGACTATTAGAAATGAAATATGATCAGAATAAAAGCTTACAGGAAATAAAAATATTAAATACACTCGGAACTAGAAAAAAGAAAAACCAAGGAGGACAAAGCTCTAAGGTGAGATTAAACAATTACCTCGTCTATTAAGGTTTCTGACTTTTCACATGTTTCAGGCTCCCTGTTTATGAGATAAGATAACAGAGGGGCTCTATTCATGTAAATATGTATTTGTTCATTTATTCCAACTCAGCATTACTGATGATAGCTTCTATCCCAGACCTTGAATATACGAGAAGCTTATACTGCAGGGGAGGAGATGGACAACTATGGACAACTAAATAAACATATAAAGAAGACAGTTTTTATGGTGGAAAGTGCCATGAAGACAACAGAGAAATGTAGGAAGCAGCAACTGAGGACAGAGCTACTTAGTGCAGTAATCTGGCAGTGTGGCACTTCACCTGAAATCTCAATCCTGTAAAACCAGCTACGCTAGGTGAAAAACTAAACTCTTTGAAGCAAGAATGAGCTTCCTGGAGGAAAGAACAACAAATGGGAGCAAGAAAGGCACAAAGTGAGAGAGAGGAGACAGTTCTTCATATCTAAAGAACTTTGGTTTAATTCTAATATTCCTCTAAAATTCTGAAATTTTGGTTAGAAGAAACATATGATCTATGCTGCAAAAGATCTCGGTAAAGGTGCAAAGCAATCCCAAGAATCTCCTAAGAAAGACCAGAAAATTCAAATTTATACTTCACTGGGCAAGTGATTACTCAAAGATTTCTGTTTATATAAGTAGTTCCTTTACATAAGTACTGCCTGTGGTTCATCTTCCAATAGAGGATGTGGAAAACTCTTCTCTTCTTCTCACTAAAACAGAAAAATTTCCTCCCAGTTATACTCTTCCAGCCTTCCAACTCTAGAGCATGAATCAAGCTAGGATTACTGAAGGCTGTCCCTCTTGAAAAATATCATGCATCTCTGAGTTACCAACTCACTAAAAACACAGCGGTTATTTCTGGAAGGATAGGCAGAATTTCATTCTAATCTATTTGTAGAAAACATCTTGCTGATACGTAACAGCTGCATAGTTCCAAAAGAAGCTGCTGATCATGCAAAACAGGGAATGCTGGCCTAGTATTGGGAATGGCCTTCACTTTGTCCCTAGAAAACGACAACAATCAAATGCAGAGGAAGAAGGAAAGGACAAACCACAGTGTGCCATATTCTCTTCTTATGTGTGTCTCTCATCAAATCCTCTCAAGAACCTCAGGCTTCTGGGAGCATTTTGGGAGTTGGGGAGTGAATCAGGACAGGAGAGAATTGCTATCTGGTTTTCAAATAAAGGTTTAAAAAATAGTACAATAAAAGGCTAAGTGTTTGCTTAGCCTGGTTAGTTCATGAATGATGATTAAAGAAAACTGCACACAAAACAATGGGGGTGGAAGTCTCTACCATCTTTTATGGCCATAGCTAAACGTTTGTACAGGGTTCTATGAAACACTTCGAAAAGAACTGTTTTAAACAGTGGAGGAGAAAAGCAGTTTGAGCTTGTTCAAGAACAAGTGCCAAAGGGAAAACTTTGATTTCTTCACTGACTGTGATGGAATGAACTCTGAAGAAGCTATAAACATGTGATTTATATTCAGCATAAACACTTGCTTATCAAATGGCCCTGTGAGACATTTAACTTCTCAGACCTTATTTTCACTCATCTGTAACACATAACTATTCCATTTCTACCTCAAAGATCAATTCTGAAAATTGAAGGGCACAGTAAATTGTGGAACAAGCATAGAAAGTATGAAGTGTGATCATAAGCTATGATTAGTACTAAGGATAAAATGTTAGGGGAGAAGAACAAAGGAATACATGGTAATATCAAGCAGTACATGGTCACTAACCCACAATGAAATAAAAGTTCTAGGAAAATATTTGACATATGCTCTCTGTAAATTAGTTCTTTCTGATAAAAAAAACCTCTTAAAACCTCTTAAATATATATATTTTATATTTATATTTTTATATATTTTTATTTTTATATTTATATTTAAATATATATATATTTTTAACTTTTGTCAGTACAGAGAATCACACTGTTTTTTAGGAATTCCAGAAAGTTTCATTCTGAGTCAAACTAGTACTACTTTTCTAGCTGTATTTTAATGAATTTAGTTCCAGTAAGAGTGAACTGGTAGTTTTAAAAAACAATGTCTATTCTCCAAATAATGTCCAGCTCATGCTGTGATACAGAGTATAAAGCCTCCGCCTGCAACAGTGGCATCCTATATTGGCAACAGTTCATATCCTGGCTACTTCACATCTGATCCAGCTTCCTGGTACTAGCCTGGGAAAGTAGCAGGCCCAAATGTTTGCACCCCTGAATCCATGTGGGAGACCTGGTTGGCATACTTAGATCCTGGCTTCATCAGACCCAGGTGTGCCACTGCAGCAATCTGGGGAGTAAAGCAGTAGAGGAAAAATCTCTTGCTTTCTCTCTGTAAATCCTTCAAATAACCAAGTAAGTCTTTAACAAAAGTATGCTCCGGAGGCCCATGTGGCATACATGTAAAGCTGCTGCCTGTGATGCCAGCATCCCATATGGGTGCCAGCTCGGGTCTTTGCTGCTCCACTTCTGATATAGCTCCATGCTAACAACATGGAAAAAGCAGCACACAGTGATACGTTTTGGCCCATGCAGCCCCATGATGCTCCTGGCTTCAGCCTGACCTAGTGCTGGCCACTTGTAACCATTCAGGAAGTGAACCAGTGATGGAAGACCTCTCTGTCTTTCCCCCTCTCTCTGAAACTCTTACTTTCAAATCAATCAATCAAACTTTTTTTTTTTTAGAAAAATGATACCTGAAAGATATAAAATGTAACCAGTGAGGAAGCTTCCAAAATGAACTGAAAATGGTTATATCTTGGAGTGGCATACTGCTAGCACTGCCTTTCCTATATTTTAATCACCACAAAGGAAGAGATCTCATCAGTAAGAGACACACATGTCAATTATGTTGTTTTTCAATGGTGATGATAACAATTCAACAACAGATTCATTTACACATTCCTTTTATTGACAAGATATACAATCTTTATCCTGGTGGTTACAAATCTTCCATAATTACAACCTACCTATCATAGACCCAGTGCTTGTGCTCCCTCCCCCTAATTCATATGGCAAGGCCTTAAGCCTCAGGGCGGCCATATTTGCTCACCATGGTGCCTTTAAAAGAAGTAACAGGTTAAATGAGGTCATAAGAGTGGACCTTGATTTCCTCAGTATTCTCATCAGAAGAGACACCCCAGGGCTCTCCAAATGTACTCACCAAGGAAAGAACAGGTGGGCACATAAAAAGAAGGGAGTGTTCTCACCAGACACCAACCTCACCGAAATCCTGACCTTGAGTCCCTGCAATGGCTGAGAAAATACATTTCTGCCATTTAGTCCACCCAGTTTTGGTATTTTGTTAAGTGAGACTGAGTAACCTGATATAGAACCTCTATTCCTGAATGTTCCCTATTCCCTCTCATTCCAGAAAGTGTATACTGGTGAATTCTGTTTTAAGAGAAGTAACTAATTGAGCATACAGGGAAATGAGATTCCTAAAAAGCACTCTGCATGGAGTATTATTGCAATCATTTTCGGTTAAGAGTCCTGAGGAAAAAAACCATGCTTACCCTTGAAGAGTAATGTAGTCCTGGGTGCTTTCAGCCCAACAACCACGCAGCATTGCAGCAAAATAACTGGATCTGGCACTTAAAATGGCCCTGTGGGGAAGGAGGAGGAAACACAGGCAAACATTTATGTACTACAAAAAATGTACTTTTTAAAATGAAATTTTCCATTTTCATCTTAAAACATAACTTTTATTCTTAAAACATAACAATCTATTTGTCTTACATATTCACTAATAGAAGATATTGTAATAAGAATTATAAAAATATGTTTATACATAGGTAATTTAATTACTTAGTTAAAACATTAATTCCAAAATCCATTGTTATCTTCAAATTTTTTCTTCTTAAAGGATCTTTAATAATAATTAAAATTATTCTCATAAATAATAATAATAAATCCTTTGCAACCAGGGAGATCAAGAATAAAATGATACTTAACATCCTGAGAAAATATCAGTAAGGAAAACTATAATTACTCTTTCATCAGCTAAATTTTTAATTATGAAAAAAATAAAGACTACATCTCTAAAACACCAGAGTTCTAGCTCAGAATTCAGTCCATATATGCTTAGAAATCTGGATTATATATGAGGATTGAGACAATGGCAAAAAAAAATTTTCTTCCTTTTCAACTGCCATCCTATCTTCTCAAATAAAAGGTTAATTTTTTCATCCTATAATCCAACAAATATCCTTTGACTTCTGTCCTGTTCTAGGGACTATTCTAGGTGCTATAAATACAGTGGGAAAGTAGTTGCACAGGACAATGCTATCTTCCAGTGAGGGGTGGGACAGAAGAGTATAGGAGGAAAGGAAAAGGCAAATATTTTTGCAACTGCCTATTAAGTTGCCTCACACCAACCCGCCTATGAAAATAACAGAATATATATGCATATATATATTCAGTAAAGCAAAATATAGAATATAGAACACACACATATGTATTCGCTAAAGGAAAATATAGAATAATTTGAAGTTCTATGAAAATCTGACACAAGATGGCAAAGTTACAACCAGGCACAATGGCTCAACTGGCTAATCCTGCCTCCTCTAAGTGCCAGGATCCCATATAGGCACCAGTCCTATAGGCTGATTCATTTCCCATCCAGCTTCCTGCTTGTGGCTTGGGAAAGCAGCATAAGATGGCCCAAACCCTTGGGACCTGCACCTGCATGGGACATCTGGAAGAAGTTCCTGGCTTCTGGCTTTGGATCGGCACAGCTGCAGCCATTGTGGATATTTGGGAAGTGAACCAGTGGATGGAAGATTTTTTTTCCTCTCAGTCTCACCGTCTCTCTGTAAATCTGCCTTTCCAGTAAATATAAAGAAATCTGTCATTCTACCTTTCAAATACAGAAATATTTAAAAAAAAAGACAAGACACAGAAGACAAAAGAGGTGTTCCAGACATTTGAAGTAACGTTCCCACTGTGACAAATCTGAAATTAAAAGCAGGTGCTGGGAGACTGAGAATACAGGACAATTTCTTCAGAGTCATCTTAGAGGCTTGGAGAACAAAAATCACAACTTGGGCTTTGACAGACAGCCAATGTTAGGTGGGTCCTGAAAGGCTACGGGAAAAAAAGAAGAGTGAACAGGGACTGGACCAGCCCTTACCAGAGCAGCTCAGGCTCTGTCTGGGATAAAGTGAGCAGAACAGGGACTGGACCAGCCCTTACCAGAGCAGCTCAGGCTCTGTATGGGATAAAGTGAGCAGCATTTCGTCCAACTGTCAGCCATGGTAAAAGGAAGCTGTTATCTTCATTAAAATAATACTACCCATAGTGTGAAATCACTTTATATTTTAAATAAAACATCCAGCAATCATTCAAAAGTAATCTGTTAATATAAGGAAAAAAATGGAAAATGAAGGGGAAAAAGATTTATACTAGTATCACAAAGATATATATATATGATTTTTATATAAATAAAAATACAATAAATCTGAAAAAAAACTTGATGTTTATCTCACCCAAATACAAGAATAGCTTTAAAATAGATCAAAATCTAACTAAAAGAGTTAACATTCTAAGACTTCTAAAAAATGCTGATGAGAATCTTTGCCAACTTTGGGGCAAAAAAGGTTTCTGAGAACACAAAAACTATGAGTTACTTTTCTTATTTAAAGATTTATTATTTTTTTAATTGGGAAGTCAGATATACAGAGAAGAGGAGAGCCAGAGAGGAGGATTTTCTGTCTGTTGATTCACTTCTCAAGTGGCCACAATGGCCAGAGCTGGGCCAATCTGAAGCCAGGAACCTGAAGATTCTTCCGGGTCTCCTACGCAGGTGCAGGGTCCCAAGGTTTTATGGGTTGTGCTTGACTGCTTCCCAGGCTACAGGCAGGGAAGTGGGGCCACTGGGACATGAACTGGCACCCATATGGGATCCCAGCATGCAAGGTGAGGTCTGCATATATTAATCGAAATTCTAGAGCTATTAAAAAAAAAACCCTTCACAGGTGAATGTACACAACAAGAAGAAACAAACTAATTTAAAAATGACTCAAAGACTGTAACAGAAAACTCATCAAAAAATATATATGTATCACAAACATATACAACTCAGTTGATGCTTGGGGTTAGGAAGAGTAGAGGGACCAATGGGCACTGATTAAAACTCTCTATAACTTTTTAAAAGTTGTACTTACTTATTCGAAAGAGAAATAGAAAGATGGCAGGGTGAGGACGGTGGAGATAAGAGAATATCTTCCAGTAGTTCTCTCCCCAACTACTATAGCCTGATCTGAGTGAGTGCAAATCCAGGAGCCACGAACTCCAGCCTGGTCTCTCATAAGGAGGCCAGTGGTCTAAGCATATGGGCCATCATTTGCCATCTTCCCAGGACACCAGTAGGTAGCTGGATTAGAAGTGCAACAGTCAAGACTCACACTGCCATTTAGTTACAGATAATAGTGCTGCAAACAGTGGTGTAACCTACTGTGCTAATACACTGGCCCTTCTAAATCTTGATTGTGTTAGGAGTTACATAAATTCACTTATTGGACAAAGCTCATCAAACTGAACTTTTTATTATGCCACTAAATTGTCTATGAATCCCAACTCGATCAATTTAACTGTGAAAGATGATGAAAATAAAATATATTTAATAAAAAATAGATTAAAAGTCAAATGAACATTTGAGGGTGATGCAAAACAATATTCTTCAAACTAAAGGGGAAAAAAGAGGAAATAGTTCCCAATTAATTTTATGAATTCAACACAACCTTGAGACTTAAGCTGCTAAGGGAATATTTAAAAACGAAAATCATGGACCAGTGCCTCTCATTAATACAGATGCATAATCCAGAAGCCCAGGATGGTAGCCTAGAGGCTAAAGTCCTCACCTTGCACATGCCGGGATCCCATATGAGCACCAACTCTAATCCTGGCAGCCAAGCTTCCCATTCAGCTCCCTGCCTGTGGCCTGGGAAAGCAGTCGACGACAGCCCAAAAAACCTTGGGACCCTGCACCTGCATAGGAGACTCTGGGAAGAGGCTCTGGGTTCCAGGCTTTGGATTGGCTCAGCTCCAGCAGTTGTGGCAACTTGGGGAGTGAATCAACAGATGGAAGATCCTCCTCTCTGTCTCTCCTCCTCTCTGTATATCTGATTTCCAATAAAAATAAAATAAATGTTTTTTAAAAAGGATGAAATAGTCCTAAATATTATCACCCTACACCCAGCAAATACAATGAATAAAACTTCAAAACTGACATGAAATTATTCTACAAACACAAAATTGCTTTTTCAATCCTAAATCAAGTGATGGAATTTAGCATACTCAAGACAGAAAAAAAGGAGAAAAGGAGTTAGAGTTGTGATGCCAGCATCTCATTCTCAAAGCATCAATTTAAATATTCGCTATTCTGCTATTTTTCCCAAGGATTTATTTATTTTATTGGAAAGGCAGATTTACAAGTACAAAGAGGGACAGATAGACTCAACAGCCAGAGCTGAGCTTAGCCGATCTGATGGCAGGACCCAAAAGCTTCTTCCAAGGGTCATACCCGGGTTCAGGGTCCCAAGAAATTGGGCCAGCCCTGCTGCTTTCCCAGGCCACAAGCATGAAACTGCATGGGAAGTTTAGTGGCTGGCACACAAACCAGCATCCACATGGAATGCTAGCACTTGACGGCGCAGATTAGTCAGATGAGCCAATGCAGTTTCCTGCAAATGTACCTAGAAAAACAGCAGAATATGGCCTAAGAACTTGGACCCTTACTTCCCATGCAGGAGACTGGAATAGAGTTCCTGGCCCCTGGCTTTAGGCTGGCCTAGACCTGTCACTGCCACCCAGCAGCAACGACACTAAAAAGGAATGAGACATACGCTTGAGGGTCCAGGAAAAACCAGCAACCGGACCTCTCACTGCCAAAAGCAGCTGCGTTTAAAACCTTCTCTCCAGTGCGTCTGTACCCATTGGTCTAAGCTTTCCTACCAGCTTCTTACGCCACCCTTCCTCCCATTTTCCACCACCCTTCTTCCCACATTTCTTCCCGTACTCTCTGCTTCATTCCCCAGTCTTCTCGTCACCCCTAGTCCTCTGTCGTCCATCGGTCATCCTCACCTAGCTTTTACCGGCTACTTTTATATCATTCTCCACCAATCACTTCTCCCGTGGATCACTTGGCGCTATCTGATAGGCCAGTAACCACTGCATTAGCCTATCCCTGTGACTTCCTGTTTACCTGCTGGTGAGACCAGTTCCGCCTCCTGGCCCTGGGCCAGCCGCCATCTTCCAACGGCCCTTCCAAACCCAGGAGCAGCTTTAGCACCCTGCTCCCCACATAGACCTGGCCATTAAGAGTTGGGGAATGAACCAGCAGATGGATAATTCTCTCTCTCTCTCAACATCTTTCTGCTTCTGTTGTTGCTGCTCTTCCTTTCAAACAAATAAATACTTTTTTAAAAACAAGAGAAAATTCATGATCATCACAATAGATGCAAGAAAAACCTTTGGTAATTTGATTTTTAAAAATTTAGGCAATTTCAATCAATATCCCAGAAACCTACTTGCTAAATACTGACAAAGTGATTTTAAAATTTATATGGAAAAACAAACAAACAAAAACTAAAATGGTAAATATAAT